TCACACGTTGTTTTGGAATTCAAGAAAAAATGCTAGCAATCGGCAAAATAAGAGAATCTGCTATGTTCTCGAAAGATTAGACATAAAAAATGGATAAATTGAAAAAATACGTGGAAAAGATAACTAAAATATTATTCAATTACAAATAAACTAAACTAAATCCGGTAAACTTATCCGGCAGCCATGTTTGATGTTTATTACCGCTTTCCAAATTCAGTACACGAACACCCAGAATGCGCTGTTCCCCTATGCAACTTAGATACTAAATCGTTACAGCGCCAACAACGGTGGGTGGCCGACGGTCGTTGAATGGGGTAGGCCAAAATGTCACCAGTTTGCTTTCTCCATGCTGTTTTCACGATGAAAATCGAGCGAACGTTGTAAATACGGCTAGAATTTTAATTTTGTTCGAGTTTACATGCAATCTGCTAATATATTTTCTGTGCATATACATTTTGTTCGTAATTACTTCTTAGTTTCGTGATCGGAAGACGATTATTAAAAATACAGCTGTAAATCGAAACCTCTGTAGTTGCGTATCGCGAGCAATAAGTGGCAACAATATCGGGCGACAATGAATTCAGGCGATTGACACATTGCCATGAATACACTTGATAACTGCTTGCAGACTTCCAGTGGTCATTGTTTATGTTTGGACTCTTGAAACAATAGCAAAATAAAGGGTTGGGCAACTACTCTTTTGTTTAGGCTTGGGAAAAACAATGCAAGCGTTTTACAAATAATTTCAGCTGGATGTACGTTGATGGGCGGGTGTTGAGTTACTAGGCGGCCGTAAAACTAAACTAACCTAAAACCCCTTGTGAGGAACACTGTAGATTGTTGAATAATAAAGCTTACAGTTTAGCCTAGCCCTCAGAGGTCGCACAAGTTGCACCCTCCGAGGTGCTCCAAACCCAACACATGGCAGACAGAATAGTGTAGTTTTTCACACATCCCCTGATGATTTTTTGTCAGTACCAATCAAATTGCAGGAACGTCACAGTGACAGCCATCAAAGAGTAACCATTCACGGCAGAGTTTATTTATTTGTTGACATAATTTGTGATAAGATGCTTGCATATTTTCGCCCAATGTTATGGTGTTACCATAACCACCAAAATGAATATTCATTTAACTCATTGCAAGAAGTGTGAACTTTGCGAATTTGCAGTATTGATCTTGCCGACGCGACATACACCATTTTGTCAGACGTTGACGAGGTCTGATGCCGCTCGGTCGGAGAGGCCTACTCACGCCTACACGTCAGGTTAATTAAGTTTAGCCCAAACAATGACTTGGCTTCAAGGGAGGTGGTTGTCACGCGAGCCTTGTTGATATGGGACTCGTAGCAACGTATACAATGCATGTAAACAATGCATGAAATTCAAAGAAGAAATTTTCATACAGATTCACAATACCTTGTATGTAATCCTTTGAAGAATCTATTCTTTCAAGTATTGGTATAAGATATGAACCAGTTTTCCCTGTGCCGTTCTTAGCTCTGGCTAATATGTCGCGACCGGATAGGGTAACAGGAATGCTTTCTTCTTGGATGGGTGAAGGCTTTTCCCAGCCCATTTCAAATATACCCATCAGAAGCTCGCGATTTAAGCAATAGTCTTCAAATTCATTGCCTTTTGTATTTGTAACATCCTGTTAATGACAATAGATTAAAATGGTTAGGATGCATGGGAACATTTAAATCGCAAAAATTGTTCAATACTCTCCCTACATAAAATACAAGTCTCTTGTTTGTTTTGTGGTTTTCGCAATTTACAACACTCGCATAATTTTATTTTATTGAAAAAAACACCAAAAGACAAACAAAGACTTCATTGCAACAAAGTCTAAACTTTGCCAATAAAAAGTTTGACTTGACTAGCATGACCAAGATGGACTGCTTCAACACTGGTAGCAAGGTGGTTGGTTCCTATCGGTCTGAACACCAAAAATGGATACCCTGGGTGAAATTCATTCACTTTGAGGAACCTTAATTAAGACAAGCAGGTGCTGGTGCTTGGCCATGAAATCTTTTATGACTTTATGACAAAAAGGTAATCACTAAGCCAAGTCTCTCACACTATGCAAATATGGAACAATTTTTGTGACAAAATGCAAGATGGCCTTGCTTTAGTTCTCATTTTTGATTGTCCAAAGTACTGTGAAATATTGATACCAACCTCAATTATTTTATATTGCTAGGGAGTAACTAAGAGTGGAGGTAGCCAGATCGTCAACTAAAATATTGGGAATCAATTTATTGAGGCAAGAGTCATGGGAGAATAATATTTTAAGAGTAAGATTGTAGCATATACCAATATATCTACTATTTGGAATTAAGAATCAAAATTATTTAATTAATATGAGCATATGCAAGGTTGTTCACTCTGAATTCTAAAGCAAGCTTTCAGTATGAAAAAGAAAAACTTACCGAGGTTTTCACCCTCCGGTCGGTGGGAGGTCTCACCAATCCTTTTTTCCAATCTTCTGCATCTCTGATAACAGAAGTAAACTTATTTAAAACCCATTGATCGATGAATTCAGGGGAACAAGTCAACATCAAATATTTTACAATTCGTAGAATACTCTAATCACTACAAGTATAAGATGCAAGTTCCCAATTTGATTGAAGTATGATCGTGCAATGGAAGAGTACATTATTTCAAGAATGGAGTGAAACCAGCTGCTATTTTGACACGGATAAACAGCACTGATCTCCAATCAAACAAATACTGAATTCCGGATTTACTAAGTATGACTACTAAGCAGAAGCTGGCAAGAGTAGACAGCTTTGTTTGTAAAAAAAAAATAATAATAACCGTACTCACTTTAAAGGACCTTTATTTTGCATGGTGTGAGGTGCCATCCCAGGCCGCCCAGCTGGACCTGCAGTGTGGTTGGCCACAGGGCCATCCGTCTTGGCGCTAGCCATTCTTTATAAATCACAAATAAAAATTTATATTGCCTGCTAAAAAAAGTTCAGGCTTGACAGTCTTTCTCTGTACAATATATAGTTCTAAGAATAAATCTGTGCGTAGAAATGTATTTTACAAATATGAACACTGTTCCAATGAAAATTACAGGGTTTGGAAGTCTCTCCTTGGGGGGGAAAATAATCCTCTATCTGAAAGAAAAAAGAAAATTATATTTGAAAACTGTGCAATATAGAGAGACAATACAAGTTACAATTTCTTGTGTTAAAATGAGGATCCCTCGGCAATCACACAAGTACACACAAGTCATACTCCACTGATTGTCCAGGAAATTATCCAAATCAACAAATTGGATTTACCTTGGTAAGCCTGCTAAACTAAAATACTGTGGGGTGTGGGGTAAATGGATTGAATTCTCAGTACTTGATTATCAACAATAATCAGTACAGATACAGGTCTTGAAATTCAACAAAAATTCTACCAGTTTAAAAGTTCTTCGGGTAGTCCATTTGGTTAAGTAAGGATTTAGCAATGCAAAAAATTGCTACTACAAATGATAATAGAAACAGTCTCATGTAAAACAGTTTGTAAACTTCTAGTAGTTGGGCTATTAATTTTGGAAAATGATACCCCGAGACAGGAGTTTGTAGTCTGGGCTGCTGTCAATTTACAGCTCTGGGATATGTTGCAAGATTAATTTATTTTGAGACTGCAGAGCTTTGGGCATGTGGTGCCCAATGCATAAGCATGAATTCAGAGTATCCCCAAGATCTACAACATTTTAAGAGTAGGCGATACATTAGTATTAACATTGGCTACCTTACCTATCTTAAAATCTGTCATACACACTTGATGTGTAAGATAAAATGTATGCCATACACTTGTGAGCACATGTACAATGGCAACCACCTAACTGACTACGTAAACAAGAGTTCAGAGATTCTAAAAATAAATTTTATTTCTGGGTTGTTACAGGAAAATGATTGACAATACAAGTGGGCAGTCACTTGAACACTAAGTTCCAGCGCTCAATACATTAAATAGGAATTTTTGGATAGGACAACTAATTAAGGTAGCGAGACTATTATTTGTGTTGAAAATTACGATTTTCACATTTATTTATTAATTGATGAAATGCACCATAAACTTTCATATGATAAAGTCAATATAACATAGAATGTCATGTAAGTTAGTTAAAATGTAGATTTTCTGAAGGGAAGCAAGGCAGCCTCAGTAGTGTTTTCCAAAATCAGCAACACAGGTTTAATCTGTGTGCCTATAAGTTTCAAAGATAAACTCAAGACAAAGCAATGTTAGGATGTGTTATCAGTAGCTATCTGACACTCAATTAGTGTTTCCAAACATTTGAGTGGTCTGTCTCCGCCCCTGTTTGTTTCACAGATTAGTCATTTGCATATGAATGTGTCAGACACAAGGTCACACAGCCACTGAAAAAA